CTGTTATCAGTAAAGCCAAAGAAGGGCCAGAGACTCTGCATTAATTGCACCTCATCCCTTTCTAGTCTGTATCCTTAGTAGCTTACAGTTCTAAATACACAAGCAGTTGGTCTTCTTTGTTGCATTTGCTCAATCTTTCTACTTGGATCCCTCATATAAGCAGCAACTTGTTCACAAATATTTGCCAATGAAAAAGACCCAAGCTCAGTCACGAGACAAAACTTGATTAAAAGCTTGCGATTGGCTTTTGATAGCAGCACCACCACTTGTAACTTCTATTTTTCTCTGCCATTTATCAATAGATTTATCTCTGCAAGAAGCAGAGATAAATCGTCTTAAGTGAAAGAAGCATTAATCAATCTTGAATCTTGATCCATATATTTTTTTTCAAGCTCTTCCATCTCATGGACATCATCCTTTTCATTACCATCATCTTCTGTCTCCATTTATTATTCTTCATCTTCCTCCTCTGACCCGTCCTTCCCGTCCTCAGAAGAACCACCATCATCACAATTCACAATCTTGCTCCTCTTCTGCATTTTCATCTTCATCTCCCTCCTCTAATGCATCCTCCATTAGTTCTTCTTCTTCTTCTCCAAATCAAAATCACTATTGTCCTCCGAACCCACATCATTGACTCTTACTTTCTTTGACCCCTTTGAAGACAACCTCATTTCGAAACCCTGAATTTCGAATAAAGAAGTAACAACAAAACTTCATGTTGGGCTTCTAACTTCCACAAAAAAGAAATGCAAAACAGTACAAGAAATTTATAATAAAATTACGAATCATAATTTCTTATTTCTTAGGACAACGTAGTCCAATCCGAACTGAAGATATGATCTATCAACATAAATCTAATAACGTATTCCAACGAGAACAGTTCCTTGAATTTACTGATTCATTATCAAAAATTGAACAAAACGAAAGGATTTGCTCCCAATAATATAACAATCGGAATACAATTTTGAAAAGGAAAACAGAAATCTCAAGAGACAGACAGATGAACCTACCAACAAAGCTTCAATCTTTCTCCTCTCCCATGTCAGGAAAATTTTTTTGTTCTGGGGCGTTGAAGAAAGTGACGATCGGCGGTGGCGCGGCTGGAGGAAAAAGAAGACGTCGACGGCCCTGCACCAGAATGGGCTTCGTCTTAAGGGCCAGAGCAGGCCTTGCTAGCCCGTGCTGTGTGGCCTAAACTAAAAGGCCTGAAATAGAAAATTAATAGAGTCCGGCCTTTTGCAATCCGCTATCCGACACACTCTTTTTAATTAAATAACTGATATTTTATATATGTGCAAAATATATTTTTTAAAAATAATAATATGCTGAAAATTTTTTTTAATTAAAATTTTTAAAAATTTATTTGCTTAAAGTTTACGCTCTTTTGTGCTGTTTTACTGTTGAATTTGTTTGGCCATTGACCATTGATTAGAATTTAGAAGATTGAGCACCATGAGTAAACAAACTAACCCATGATTCTTGAAAGAAAGAGATGTATACCTTACTTTTCCAAGTGGGATAAAAAGAAATTCTGGCTTTGTAAATTAATGACTAGGAATCTTTTCATCATGTAATAAAAACTTGCAAATGAATAATGATGCGCATATACTTCTGCTTTTTTCCTTGGTCCATGCTTGGAGAAAATGATATCTTGATCCCCTGCCTTTATCAGGGACTTCATTATTGCTATTCTATGTGACAAGGACCAACACACTCTTTAATTGTTTTCCTATGAAACTCAATTTAATATGAGATTCATACACTGTTTTATCTTAATTATAGAGCTTAAATACCCTCAACTTTTTTCTTCACAAGAAAGGATTAGGGAGTCCATCCTTTTTGTGTTGCATGTATCATATTCTGTAAATTTTCTTTCTCTGAAACTCAATGATGTCAATCACACCTAGTGGACACCCCACCAATTGGTAGGGGAAAAAGCACGCATGCCTTCCCAGTTTTTAAACTTGTTCTCACTGGTAGTGATTTGCTTTTGATCGTTAGAAATTGACAAGACTAGAACTCTCACAACCAACCTTTCATCAATGTGCTTTTGTGAGTGCTTATCTAAGAAAATAAGTATGGATTTACTAAAAAGAACTAAGAAAATGGGTGAAAGAAAGATACAAATCCTTGGCACCTTTTTCCTTAATCATAATGTGTACAGAGAAAAACAACACTGAAGTAAATTCCAAGGAAAATGCTTAAATATTAAAAGGGGTAATAAAGGCCTCCCTTGGAGAAGAAGAGACAGGGATACAGAAGAGCACTTTTCTCATTTTTTTTTTTCCTAAATATTTATCCTCTAATACAAAGCATAGGCGGAGGAAATAATTAGGGGAAATTAGACATGGGTTTGGCTCCTGAATGACCCCAGAGCCTTAACAGCTCCTGCTCTCAAGATGAACTGGTGGTAGAATGCTGCAATGGCTGCACCAATGAAGGGTCCAACCCAGAAGATCCACTGAAAACATTTAATTAGAAAAAGGGTTATATTTAATATTTAATAGTTTAGACAAATAAGATAATCAAGAATACAAAATAAATGAAATGACATAATTGAAATTATGTATGTACTAACATGATCATCCCAAGCAATATTTTCGTTGAAAATCACGGCGGCTCCAAGACTCCTGGCGGGGTTGATTCCGGTGCCGGTGATGGGGATGGTGGCCAAGTGCACCATGAACACAGCAAATCCAATTGGAAGCGGAGCCAAAACCTTTTAAAAAAACCAGAATAACATAGAGCAAGAAATTAATAAACCAGACATTGAAGATGAAAAAGCAGAGTAAAAAACAGAGCGAGGAAAAAGGGGAATGTTAGATGCATACGGGGACATGGGAGTCACGGGCGTTTCTCTTAGGATCAGTGGCTGAGAAGACGGTGTAGACCAAGACAAAGGTGCCGATGATCTCAGCGGCGAGTCCAGTTCCTGTGCTGTACCCTGCGGCGAGCCTGTTGGCCCCGCCGCCGTACCTCGTGTAGTATGATTTTTGAAACGCCCTGACGAGCGCCACTCCACATATGGCTCCAAGGCACTGAGCCACCATGTACATCACGGCCCGCACCATAGACACCTTGCGGGCCAGGAACAGCCCAAATGTTACTGCCGGATTTATGTGACCACCTGCACATTCAAAATTTTTAATTGAAGTCCAAACTTTCATCACTAGCTTCTTGGTTGAGTTAAGAATATTGAGGAGATGAGGGCTCACCAGAAATGCCGGCAGTGCAGTAGACAAGAATGAAGATCATGCCGCCGAAGGCCCAGGCGATTCCGAGGATGCCGACTCCGGCACAGGCGTCGCCGTTCTTAGGGTCAGACTGACTCTTGTAGCCAATCACAGTCAAGACAGTGATGTAGAGGAAGAGAAGAGTGGCTATGAACTCGGCTATCAGAGCCCGGTAAAAGGACCACTTGATGAGCTCCACCGCGTCGAAAAGAGGTGCTGGCGGAGGGTCCTGGTAGTCCTTGCTGTGGAATGACCCATGCTCCGACGACTCCTTGGCCATGTTGCAGTACTTGAAGAAGTTGAATCAAGAGCAACAGAGTCAAAGTTGGAGAAACGGGGGAAGATGGCTACGAGTTGTGTTTGGAGATCTGTAATGAACAACAAGGGGATGTGGGGATATATATATCATATGGGGAATGAAAGAGAACAAAACCAAAGCATAAGAGATTTTTTTTTTTTTTTTAAATTGTTTTAAGAGGCTATAATTAAAGCTACCATCATTTTTGCTAAGTACCAAATTAATTAAATTTTTTATCTTAATTTAATTATAAAAATAATTAAGAATTAAGAAAATAATTAATATTTATTATTTAGTATATTAAAATTAAATTATAAATATATTTTTTAAATACCATAGTCAATTATTTTAAAAAATATCATAATCAACTAATAAAATTGCAAACAAAATTAGTAGCATTAATAAGTTGATTGGTGGTCATAACCTCAACTGCATTAAGAGTGAAAATATACTATAATTTAAGGGTGTTACATCTTTTTATATTAATTGATATTAAAAAATTAAAAATTAATGTTCATTTAATCAATTGTTTAATTAAGATGATCCACAACTTAATATTTTTTAATATCAATTAATTTCAAAAAATGTCATAATTATGTCCTTAACCCATGCCCTCATATTAAAAAAAAATTCAAAATGAAATTACAAGAATCAAATATTATATTAAATGAGATTCTTAAATAAAATGGTACGATTAAATCAAAGTAAAAAGAGTAATACTTATAGTATATAATGTATGAATAATAATTTAATTTTTTTATCAAATAAAATTCCTCAATAAGGAGTTTCTTGTTAAAAAATTCCAATTATTGGTATTTATAGGTTATGCAAAAATATTACCAAAAATTATGTTAAAAAAATAAAAAGGAGTCAAATGTCACTTAATTTAAAACCAATAGTAGTAACAAATGTTTAAATGTAGTCCGTACGAATGAGCGGATGGTGAAGTATGGTCCCAGACACGGAGCTAGAGAAATAGTTAATTAACGAAGATTAGTATTAAAGATTTGAGTTTTTAAAAGTATTTTTTATAATATTAATTTATTTTTTT